TTTTGTTCTCCTCCAGACTCTTGATTCCATACAGGGATCATCATCTTGACTTTACCTTGGACTTACACAATACTTTTCATTGAAGGCTGAAATGGAGGAAAAAACCGAGTCTCCATCAACTAGGAACCATAAACTTAAAAGAGATTAATGAATAGATCGAGCATTACTTTAGAATAAGAATAGAATTCCTACACTGGATGCAAACTATTACTTGGGGTGGGAAAGTCTGTTTTCAATCATGATCTGATCTGACCTTTCTAACTCGGAAATATTTTTCTTCAAATGTTATCTGGCACTTTACAGACAATTTTTTGCTGATCTCTGAGCTGCACTTTTAACAATGAAGAAACAAATGATCTTTTTTTCTCTCTGTCTTTTTATTGGGGGTGAAAGTTGGCCGAGTGAACTGGCTTTCTTTCCATTCAACAATTCATATGCACTGTGTTTTCTGGCGCTGAACTGATCGCAGTTCCCACAGGGTGCCCCCACTCTTCCCATTTCCTTCCTGGGTTTCCCATTTATTTCCCTTTGCCCTTCTTTCCTCTCTCCTCCTGCCCTCTCAGTGTTCTCTCTGGACAAATGCAGATTTCTGCATTTGATGATATGTGCTTGTTCTAAGGACTGTGTGCCTTCCTGGTGGTGGGGTTCACCTCGGAGACCTTGTATTTGGATGCAAGTTAAGGCCTAGAGGTGAATTCACTTCCAGGACTACAGGTTATCTAAAGGTGGTCTAAAGGTCTTGGCGGTTCCACCAGTCTATCAGACCCGGTCTTTTGTTGTTGTTATTTTGAGTTTTAGTCCACAAGACTAATTATTTCCTTATGTCTTTGACTTTGTTCATTCTTCTTGGCTCCAGACAAAGAGAGGTGATAATTGCATTTTAGATAGCTCTTCACAAGCCTTTAGACCCAAGTCACTAAGTTATAGAACATTGTCATTGTGGGGACTATAGTATGTCACTTGACCTTGGTGTCCTCTGAGACCTGAGACTAGCATTCTGAGTCCCCAGGCCCAGTAAATTATTCCTTCAAAGTTTATGGTTACAATTAACCAATTTTCATAATGTTGCCTCTTGTATGTTCCAATATGTTTATGGATTCATCTGCAACACATCTAAAGACATGTGTAGAAATAACCTCTGTCAAGCCTATATGAAACAGATTGCAAAGTTTAGAGAACTGCAGTTAAAAGATAATGGAGCTTTTCTACAATTTCTTTGAAGTGCCCCTGTATATTTGTTAGCACAGTCCTATTTGCCTTTTTACCTCTGTTTAACTTGAGTGTCAATCTATGTATCCACTTGTAGATTGTTGCTATTATTGTTATTGGAGGATTGGGTATACACTAATAGTTACCTTTGTTGTCTTTAACTCTTGTCATCACCAAATGTTTTCCTTTGTCTTGACGTTTTGTGTTGACCTTCCCCTTTCTGTGTATTGACTTTTCCTTGACCCAAAGAAATAAATGTCTATTCTCTAGTCAGTTATTTACCCGCCCTTCACCTTCTACTCCTGGTAACATTCAAAAAATGATTCCTTCTGTCTGTGTAAACCCTTTCTTGACTGTTTGCAACAGCATTCTTATACTGTATTTGCTCACTTGTGAATGACTGATTCCATTCAGCATAATGTCATCTAGATGAATACTTTTATGAGCTGTTTTGAAGATTCATTGTTCTTCATTAACATTGTGCAGTCTTCCCTTGTATGCACGAACATGGTTTGTTTATTCATTCATCTGTTGACATTTTTTTGTTCTTGGGATGAATGTTGCCATGAGCATGGTTTTGTATAATATCTATTGGTGTTAAAGTGCTTATTTATCTAGGATATATACATAGTAGTGGAATTTCTGAATCATATGGTATTCCTATTTCCAATTTTTTAAGGTAAGACCGCACCATTTTACTGTCCCATCAGCAGAGGATGAACACTCCAATCTGTCCACACTTTCACCAGCTTTTTTGTTTTCTATTTGTTTCTTTGACTTTGCTACTAGCACTGGGGTGAGATGATATCTCATTGTTCTGATTTGCGTCTTCCTAATGACCAAGGAAGCACTTAATGATGAAGATCAAGGACTGTAGCCTTCCTTATGGGTTATAATTCAATGGAAAGAAAACCAAAAGCCTCACTACTGGATTTATAGACAATAAATAAATAAACCCCACACTGCCAGTGAGTTGATTCTGAGTCATAGTGACTCTATAGGACAGAGTAGAACTGCTCTTGTGGGTTTCCAAGGCTGTAACTGGTTAGGGAGTAGACAGCCTCATCTTTCTTCCATGGAGTGGTCAGAGGTTTCGAACTGCTGACCTTGTGATTAGCAGTTCGATTTGTCACTCACCACATCACTAAGGCAATTTGAATGTCACTTTACAAATCAACTATATTTGTGAAAGGAAATAGGAAGGGTGCTGTCGCATTGTGGAAATAAATCATGCAAATGTTTTAGGCTTCATTTCGCTCACATGTAACATGTGGAGCTTGGACAGGAAGATTGGTCAGTACTCCGCAGCAGGGGTTCTGCCTCTGCTCTATGTTGGACTCACCAGGGGAGTCTTAAAAATCTTCATGGCTTGGTCACAACCCGTCCAATTAAACATGAATGTTTGGGTTAACCTAGACATCGGTATTTATAAACCAAATACAGTTTGTCATCAAAATTGCAAACTTCTGCAGGAAAAACACACAAGATAAAGAAACAGAAGATTGCAAGCATAGATCCTAATTTTAGGCTTAAAAACCCTTTGCTTGTTAAAAGGCTAAAGTTTTAGAAAGGAATTCCCTTATCTAAGGTTCTGGTCTTCTTTCTCATTCAGCATTCTGGAAACCCAGCAGCTTGGGTTTCAGCAAGAGTCAGCTGGACAGCTGAGTTTAGGAAGTCATGGGCTCAACTTTGGTCTCCCTGATTGAAGGTTTCTTCACCACTCCCACCTGCGGCCCTGCCTGTGCTGCTTAGGTGGGTCACGGAGCCCTGGTGGCATGGTGAGTGGCTATGCATTGGGCAGCTAACCACAAGGACAGCAGTTCAAAACTCCAGCTCAAAACCACCAGTAGCTCTGTGGGAGAAAGATGATCTAAAGCTTGGGAAAATCATCGTTATATCATCAAGCAAAAATGCTAATGGTATTTCCAATCCGAGATGTCTATTTCGGGCTGAATTGGAATACTTGGTTGCTCTCTAAATGTACTACAGTGTTTGATATTACAACAAAACCCAAACCCCAAACTCGTTGCCATCCATTTTAGTCAGACACATAGTGACCCGAGAGGGCAGTGAAGAATGGCCCCCATGTGTATCTCAGGGCTCACTGCAGATCTACCCGATCATATTCTGCCTCTTAATGAGATCCCTCTGGTGGCTTGCAATGCTCAGTAAGTTTGAGAAATGCTAAGGCCTTTAGATGTATTAAATTATAAATTAATAATGTATGAATCATTGGGGAAAAAAAGGGCTTACAAAAATGATCATGCAACAAAACACTATAAAAAATGACCAGGCAAGTTACGAAAAGAAAAACAAAAAAAGGTCCCCCCACCCCGACCCAAACAAACACATACACACAACACCCCAAATTAACTTCTGGAAGTAAACTATGTAGTTATTTTTAAATGTGTTATTATTGTAGCTGATTTTACACATGTGGGGCTTTTTGTTTGTTTTTCTTTCCTTTTCCATGTGTGATCTTTGATTGTGATCTTAATTTGCAAAACAAAAACCTGGACACTTCATTGGTATTCTTTCTTTTGTAAAGGACTTGTATTCGTTTCTGCCAGCAATCAGGAGGTGCTATTAGTACGAAACCATTCCAGCTTTGGCCCAGATTTCCGGGCTCACAGCAGGTGTCTCAGGTTCACTTCAGCTGCCATGTGCCAAGTGCCCAGTTTCCTGGCACTACTGATGCTGGTACTTGTTCATAAGGGAACTCCACCCTTTGGGCATTTACCACCTGAGTTTTAGATCCTGGCTTGTTCATTTGTTTCATTTCCCTCTCTTGGAACTATGCGATTACAAGCATGTTTTCTCTATGATTTAATTATTCTGTAGTGGGAGTACCTTAAGAATGAACTAGTCTATTGTATGCGAGAAGAAGACACTAACATGCTATTTTTCACCCACTGGATAGTAGAATAAAGGGTAAACCAGTCTGGTTTAACCAGTCTACAAGCTCTCAGACCCAAAGTATAAACTGGCACTGACAGTGGGACCAGAAAGACCTGAAACAAAAATACAGCAAACCCAGAAACCCAGGCCAATGGCTGTCTTTTGTGGCCAACATTCTTTTCTGAACATTATTTATTTTTTGAAAGGGAAAAAGTTGTCTTTTCAGCTAGTTCTAAGTTAACCACATATACATTGACACCTTTCTTGAAAATGTGTCAGCAAAGACTGAAAAAGAAACCCAACATTTTGAGTAGCTTTGGGCTAAATTAAAAACACTCCTTAGTTCACATACCTTTTATAACACGTACCTACACCCCACCCAGACACCCATTTCTACAAGGTCATTGTTTGTCTACGAATGCCAGTTTCTTGCCAAATTCCTCGACAACGTCTTTAGCTCTTGCTCACCTCTAGTTGCATGAGATCTGCTTATGTTTGAAAGGCTCCCTCTGTAGCCTGTCCTGGAGAGCATCCGAGTATCTCCTGAATTCTGCAGGCAAGTCATCATTGCATGACCTTCAGGATGGGGAGCTGCAGGGCCAAATGCCTCCTTTCCTCTGGACTACCCAAACCAACCATGCAGACGTTCTTCCCCATTTGCTTTTCCCTGTGTGCTGTAACCCCCCTTTCAGTGCCTAAAACAGGGAAGGTTTTTCACCGTCTGACATTTTGTGGGTATTTTCCACACCCTATCTACTTAAGTTTTGTCTTCTCATACTGAATGTATTTCACAAAAGCTTTACCAACATTGTTTTAGAAAAGAAAGACTCAATTCTGACCATCCCTCTTAGAGTGAAGGGGAATGGCAGTTTCTGTAACTACCCATGACTTACACAGCATCCAGCTTTGTCCCATTGAAAGCATGTCCCTGGATTGAAGTGAAGCCATTGTTGTATAGTTTCCTGTAACCAACAGAGAAAGGCAAAATCAGTGATCTTGGAGAAGTGGTTCTGGGGTCCCTTCTAGTAGGGTTAGGCTTCATTTCTTAGGATCAGCAATGTATAATGGTTCTCAGGGCTCACATATAAATTCTACAAGAAAATGGTATGTCTTGTATAAGTGAACATTTCATAGTTAGAATGCCCGCTCTTCAGAATTAGCTCAGAGTGGTGCTATAGGATGAGTGCTGGGCTGCTAACTGCCAGATCAGTGGTTCAAAATCAGCTGCTCCATCGGAGATAGATGAGGTTGCCTACTCTCATAAAGATGTACAATCTGAGAAACCCTATAGAGGATTGCTGGGAGTCAGAATCGGTGGAGTTGGTTTAGTTTCTGAACAATTAAGCTATTTCTCAAAACTGGATTCACACCATAGATCAAATGTTTCTACCATTAAAGATTATTTTAAAACTTCCCATATATATTTGAAAGCAGGGATTTCAGGCAAGAGTTAATTAGCCCAATGTTAATGCCTGAAGTATTCGTAGGTCTTTCAGGACTGATCGCACTGTAGAGATCTGGCTAGATAGCTTCTGCTCAACATTGAAGCTATGTGAGCAGTTCCCTTCCTTGTATTGAAGGGAAGGTGATCAAAGACAGAGGTCACATCTTTAAATGCCTACAAGTATCAAAAAGGTGGGCAAGCAGACTGTCTATAGAAGACAACGAGAAACTACATGAACTATGGCTATGAGAAGTCCAAGAATAAAATGTAAGAATGAAAAGTGGACAATGTAACCTAGGTAGAGATCATGAACTTCAGCAACTATGAGCGCGTCTTTTTTAAAGAATGTAAAGGCAATCTCCTAGAAACAATAGTGGAGAACTCATGCTAACTCTCCTTTTCAGATCTGCGGTTCTCTTCCTATCAATTGCCGACGAGGCATTGTGCGAGTGTGTGGGACAATACGTGATTTTCCAGTGAGAAGAATGGTGAGGATGTGGGATCCTCTGTTGGGGGAGAATGCTGAAAGATGAAGGAACATTCTATAGAGAGATCGAACATGTAGACTTTATGGATTTACCCAGGATGGGTGCTAGATGGCATAATGAAAACATATCTCAAGGAGGTAAAAAGTTTGGGACTGACCAGAATAAGATCCAGGTCATTGCTTTGCTGTCAAAAAAGAAATAGTGCCACGAAGGAGACCCCCTGTCTTTTGAAGAGAACTCTCCTCTTGCTGCAAGGAGGATTAGCTGGAATGTTTTACCCTGGACAGAGTCCAAGTATTGATGTGAATCCATAGGGGCTAGACTGTTAGACTTGGAGTTGCTTAGAAAAGAGTGCCTGGAAGGGCTATGGGAAGTCTTGGATTATCTTTTGTTTTTGTTTTTTTAATCATTTTATTAGGGGCACATATAACTCTTATCACAATCCATACATGCATCAATGTGTAAAGCACATTTGTACATTCATTGCCCTCATCATTCTCAAAACATTTGCTCTCCACTTAAG